ATATATATACATATTACCCATATATTATGTATTTAGTAAATACATATACGATGGCTATTCGTTTTGAATTACGAATAGAGCACGCTCGCGGCTAACAAGGAAAAGGCAGATGCGATTGAAAACCGGAATCGGTAAGATATGTCTCTGACCTTGGATGGTACGTAACTGGGTCAGCCGAAGACATCAGATGATCGGAAGACATGCGCATCTGCCGACGGTAGAGACAACATGAGCACACATATATCATCATTACGGGACAGTGCAACTCACCTCTTTAATTCTTCGCGCTACCGATCTAAGACACTTGCAAGCAATCGTGAAGTTCGCAAGTGATTACGATTCAGGGCGCACGACCTTGTGACACACCTGGGGTGTGAACTAGGCCACTGTTGTCTCTGCTAAGCTTGTTTCTGCGGCATCTTCTGAGATAGCTGGGTTGACAGCTACAATACATCATGGTGTTATCACGCGGAAGACAAGACGTGGCCTAGCTTTAAGGGTATGCTAATTACAGCCAGCGAAGTTCACATTTGCATCACCTATAGCTGCTACATATCTGTATTAGATAGCTTTTGGTCGCTGCAATTTGAAAGTTTGAAGTCTTGCACTGATGATTGGTTAATATACGGTTGTCGTATTTGTTTATTAAACAGATAATTGACTGCGTAAATTAAATTCGCGGTTGTTTTGTAGAGATACATCGTTCGTCGATGTATGACCACAGAGTGATTCTGCTCTCCATAGCTTTATTTGTGACGTATAATATAGGCCTACACACACCATTTCTTCTGGACGCATTGCATTAATGAAATCATAGATCAAACCGACACGAGCAAAGTTAAAAACTGTGTGTAATGTATGACCCCAAAACAACAGAATATCACGCAATGCAACTGCAGTACTAGTCACGCACGACACTTGAAACATCATCCTCGGCTGTACCAGATATATACAAACACATGCGTTTGTATATATCTATGGCTGTACTCAGTAGGTGAGCAGTAAACATATATGGCTCAGCCGTGGAAATGATTGCGTTGAACTGGATTCACAGCTACAAATGGCAATTCGCACAGATGCACACGTAGTCATTTGTCGGATGCTTAATTATCGCTCCGTGCTAATAAACCCATTTCCTACCCCGTCATCTTCCTAACCAATGCATACTTAATATGTACATATAGGTTCATACCTGTGCTTGTTACCAAACTTGAATTTTTGAACGGTTAAGCGCTTATTAGTGTGATTAGCTCATCGATCGTACGTAAACCCAACACCCGGAACGTTTAATTCACCTTTACATACATTCGCGAAAGAATTATCGCCCGCTGGCAACCTTCCTCTCATATAAATGCTACTTGGCTGCATCCTAATTCCCACCCATCCGTGCACGTACGTAGAAGCTGTATTGTGAATATAAACCTTAATCTGCCGCCATCTTCTTGTGTAATGACGACCCTTTCACGCTGACCCCTACCCGACCGTTACGTAGTCGAATCTCTGAGACGGATTGCAACAGCTAGGGTGGATACCCGGGGCGCAGTGAGGTCACGAATCCGACTTTACGGAGGAATGCTTTGTCCGATAACAGCGGTCGGCTATACTGGAGCCAGAACATCGTAAAGTTAATGCTAAGATAGCACGTATGACTAATGTTAATGTTAAGACTATAATGTTAGGACTAATTTTGTTTCTGACAACGGCCCCCAGGTGTATATAGTTCGTAAGTATGTCTGCCAGGATGACTCTTGGACGCTCTTCGAACTGCGGGAGTGCGCTTTTGTTTTTGCGTTCTTGCCGCTCTCGAGCCGCCGCGGGCCGATGCACTCCGCCCTGACCCTATCATATATATCTGTAGATACTTCACGCTCCCGCTACTTTGAATGGAAGAGACACCCCAGCGCGCCAAGCAAACGGCCAGACACCTGCGGCGATGAGTAGTGACCCAGTTCTTCTCAACACCCGTGACACGGAGAGCAAGGTGCGTGCCCCCGTAATAAAGGGTTGGGCATGACCGAATCGGACCGTAGCTAAAAGCCGCTGGCTACGTGGTCAGATGTGAGAGCGAGCTCACTTCAGGTGGCGGGGGTCGTCGTTTAAAGCTGTTTACTGGTGGAATCGGGCGTGTGTCCTCTGCAGTAGAGAGTCTAGACTTCTACCACCTGCTTTTTTTTTTTTTTTTTTCAATTTTTTTTTTTCTATATTTACGATTATATATATATATATATATATAATATATATGTATGTATGTATGTATACGATCATTTATATCAACGATGTGTTTATCTGTGTCAGTGTTTAT